GGTCCACCCTCTAGGGAAACCAAAATGAGCTTATATGAGGTCCTGAAGACCTGGGCAGAAGCTCTGTGGAAGCAGCAGGCTGTGTCCTGCAGATGACTGCTCCTCCTACCCATGTCCACAGTTATTGTGTCTGGGCCTCTGGCAGCTGTCAAACCTTTAGAAGCTCAGTATCACCCAGCCCAGCTCTCATGCCCAAGGATATCAACCCTCCAGTCTGGAAGGGAGGAGCCCTACACGGCTATGTAGACAACTTGGACAATCTCCCACAGGAGCACTGCCCATGCTCACCGATGCTGCTGCTGGGGGATGTGGGAAGCTCAGTTCCCAGATGCAGATTTCTTAGGGAAAGGGAAACTCTGCCTCTTGCTTCCAAGGTCCCCCAAAGTTTTCCATGACATCCAAGAGTTGTTGCAGGCCTAAGACTGAAGGTAACTCTTCGGGAGGTTGATTTCCTTCCTATTGTTGTTTCCATGAGGTCAGCATTACTCTGATACCAAAAGCAGAGACATTGCTGTAAACTATCAGTGTCCCTGATTTAACATAGGTGTAAAAATCGTCAACAAAATCTTAGTAAACTGAATTCAGCAATACATTAGAAGGATCATGCACCATGATCAAGTGAGATTTATTCCAGGGATGCAAGGATGGTTTAATACATGCAAATCAATTAAAGTGATGCATTGCTTCAACAGTAGGAAAGAATCATGATTTTTCATGATTGTAGCAATGAATTCAGAGAAAGCATTTGACAAGATTCATCATCCGTTCATGAGTAAAACACTCAACAAAATGGGGATAGAAGGAACTTACCTTAATATTGTAAAGGCCATATGCAGTTAACTTACAGCTATCATCATACTCGATCAAAAACCTGAAAGCATTTCCTCTAAGATCAAGCACAAGACAATGGCCTTGACTTTCACCACTGTTATTCATCACAGTATTGGAAGTTCAGGTCATACTATTTAGGGAAAAATTAGAAATTAAATGTATTCAGACCAGAAAAGCCAAACTGTCGTTATTTACAAACAACATGTGCATCAAAAACCCTAAAAATGCAATCAAATAACTTTTGGAAACTTATACAATAAAATACAAATTCAGTATAAGAAAATCTGTTGGTTCAGTGGGCAAAATGACTGTGATAAGTTATGAAAATGATCCAATTCTTAGAATAACCACTATGACTATATAAGAGATATATTCAAAAATACTAAAGGCGAATTTTAAATAAGAATCTTAAAAATATTCAAGTAGCCCACTGGAAATCAGGAAAGGAAAGTGGTGGGTGAAAATCAAACTAAACAAAAATGAAGTGGCAGATTACTTTTTTGGTTTTGAGGCCACATCCAGTGGTACACAAGGAACCTGGTGGTACTCGAGGGAAAAATCCAGGGATCTTGCATGTAAAGCCAGCGCTCCAGCACTACGGACTATCTCAGGAGATAGCTCTAAAATGGTATATTTCAGTCCTAATGTGGCACAATCACTGAAAATATACTACACAGGCACTTAGACAATGCTTCAGTGCTTTGAGCTATCTCAGGAGATAGTTCTGAAATGGTATAGTTCAGTTCTAATGTATCACAATTATATAAATTATACTAGACAGGCACTGAGACAAACTAAGCCACAAAGCCCACAATAATTACATAAAATATAAAGTTCTGCACACATCAATTAAAGGATATTGGCAGACTGTATTAAAAAATATGACCCAAGTATATGCTGTTTACAAGTAATTCAACTAAAAGAATGGAAAAAGATAATCTGTTATGCACACATTCATGGAAGAAAAGCAAGGGAGAGTCCATGAACATCAGATAAAGTATACTCTAGAGCAAAGAAAATGACCAAGATTAGAGAAGTAGATTACATAATCATTAAAGGTTCAAGCTAACCTAGAAGGAATAATAATCGTGTGTGTGAGAAATAAATGAAACATTTTCAGTTATAGTTGGGAACTTAAATACCCTATTCCCAGGAAATCTTCAAGGATTTAGAAGATGTGAAGAATATAAGCTATTTAATTTATCACTTGTATCAGTTGTCATCCCGTTGCTCATCGATTTGCTTGAGTGGGTGCCAGTAATGCCTCCATTCGTCCATGTTGCATGCTAGTGTAGCCCAATGGCATCTGCTCATTCCAGGAACACGAAGAGCATCAAATCATTTGTTCAGGGTCTTGAAGAAAAAATCCAACCATCTTGTAGGTGGATGGCCAGGTGTTCTATTGATGTCCTGTGGAATCCAGTTGTAATGGCTTGAGTCCACCGGTCCTCTCCAAATCATATTACGTGTCTGGCCCATCTGATTTTCGATGACTTGGCACACGAGGCAGCGTCCCTGATCCTCAATCGTTGATGGAGGTCGGAACATGTATTTAAGTTATACATGTAGAAATGTTCCATCAGCATTAACAGAATACATTTAGCTGGGACTTGGGGGAAAGGACTCAAACTCAGGGTTTTATGTGCTCTACCATTGACATTCCTTGTCCAGAAAGCACATTTTTAAAAAGAGGCCATGGGGGACTGGAGACATAGTATAGTGGGTAGGATGCTTGCTTTGACCAGCCAACCTGGGTTCGATCCCTGGCACCTCATATGGTTCCCCCAACACTTCCAGAGTTAATTTCTGAGTGCAGAGCCAGGAGTAACCTCTGGGCATTGCTCAGCGTGGCTCCCCAACAAAAACCAAAAAGACCATGGAAGATTCACCAAACTAGATCATGTAATGGGTCAAAAACGTTACCAAATCTAAAATAATTGAAAGAAACTATACAAAGTGTTAACACAGGTCAAATAGAAGTTATTGTCAAAGGTAATAGTCTTATTATTAGATATTTTAAAATTTAAAATAAAATATCCAAATAATTAGATGCTAGACAACACATTTGTAAATTACCTGTGAATCCAACAGAAAGTCTTAAAGGAATTTAAAAATAAATGGAAGTGAATGAAAATGAAAATACAGTATGAAATTGTGGGACTCAGCTAAAGAGTTGCTGAGAGGAAAGTTAAGAGTAGTAGGTAGTAGGTAAATCACAGAAAAGCAAGTCTCCCATTTAGATGCTAAACATCAACTTCAAGAACCTTGAAAAATAAAATAAGACAAACCCAGAGCAAGAAGAAAAGTACATGGGTCATACTGGTAGTGTTCAGGATATTCGGAAAGTAAGGAGAGCAATGTCTTGAGATATGTGTGACAACTTTGTTATTTTGGCTTTCATTTCCCTGATTGATAATAAGTGATGATGAACACTTTTTTTGTATATCCTCTTTGGGGATGAAAGTCTGTTTTATCTCTCCCCATTAATTTTTTTTTTTTTTTGTGGTGGTGGTGGTGAACTTTGAGAGTGCTTTAGATATCTTGGGTAATAGCAGCCGTTTTATGTATGATATATAAATATTTTCTCCCAAGTCAGTAGGATATCTTTATTTTAGGCCTCATTTCTCTTGTAGTACAGAGGGTTTTTTTTAAAAAATTTTTTCAATTGATATAGTCCCATTTATTTCTTTCTGCTTTTATTTTCTTTGTTTCTTTGAGTTCTTGCTTTTTTACTTTTGGGGTATATGTACCTAGATGTGGAATTACTGGGTTATATTTTAGTCTTTGTGAAACTTTTTCTGAAGTGGCTATACTGTCTTATATTCTCACCAGCAATCAACCTTCGTGGGATAAATTTCTTATCTGTTCACTTTTTTTGAGTATTTTCCTTTTCTTTGGTTTTAGCCAATCTAGTAGAAAGAAGTGGTGTCTTGTTATGATGGGCATTTTATTCCATGTGCTTACTTGTCAATTTTATGTATTCTTTAGAGAAATGTATATTGAGTCCTTTGCTCACTTAAAGCCTCAGATTCATCTTTTTGTTGGTGACTTTAGTTCTTTTCATATTTCTGTTATGAACATATTATGTTGATGCTTTATCAAGCCCTTGTCAGATATGATTTGCAAGTATTTTCTTTCATTCTCTAAGTTTTCTTTATGAATTATTGCTTCCTCACACAAGCAAGGCAAGTGGTCCACCCCTGAGCTGCATCCTCTGCCTCTATAGGTTATCTTTTTTACTTTCTGAATTCTGTATGTCCTTTGATTGCCCAGAAGTTTTAAATGTTGATGCTGACCAATTCTTTTTTGCTTGTGCTTTTTCTGATACCTTGTCAGGAACCTTCAGTAAATGTATCCATCGTTAGATGTCTTGTCTTCTGGTTCTCACAGATTTGGACTTGACTCTCATTTTTGGTTAGCATTAGCAAAAAATAATATTAGTTGCCATTGATGAAGTTCCTAATATGTGCTGGGTTCCATTTTGGGACCTGAAAAAGAGAATTCTAAGGGAATAAAGGATCATACTTGTTGCTATGCAAATTCTAAAATCAGTGAGTCTTCCAAAGATACTAGACAATACAGTACTTCTCATCATTTCCTGGAGGAAATTTAAGTCAAAACCAGTGTTGCTGTGTCTGTTGCGGTAATTAGATTTCTGACATGGCCCAGGGTTCTAGAATTCTCCTATACTCAACCAGTGGAGGGTCCAGGTTTCTTATTTCTGCTTTTCATTGACTTTCTTATTTAGTTCAGCCAGCTTTCTACCTTACCTGCCTAATTTTCTTCTCTCTTTACAAGCTGTGTAAGAAATTCAGGTAAACCAGTTCCTTATAGTGAGAGTAACATTTAATTTTTTCACTAGATTTTAAGTTTTCTTACACTAAAAGATGAGAATTTTTGTCCATGTTTATGTTTAATATTCTCTCAAGAACTTAGTCCTACATCAACTTCCTCCCTCAAAGGAGAATGCCTTTCTTTTTTTCTAACTTTCAAAAAAAAAAAGCGCTGTATGTTCTGCCATTGAAAAAAATTAAACCTTTTCTATTTGTAGTGTGAGAGCTTTCTTTCTAGATGACTAACTCATTGTTCACTTTTGCTCCTCAATTTATAAAGCCATAGCTATCAGTGTTTAATATGATTTATTTTGATTTATTTTTATCCCCCAATAGCGGATCTAAAAAGAACAATTGCTGTCCTTTTGGATGACATTTTACAACGCTTGGTAAAGCTGGAGAGCAAAGTCGACTATATTGTTGTAAATGGCTCAGCAGCGAACACTACCAATGGAACCAGTGGGAATCTGGTGCCAGTAACCACAAATAAAAGGATAAATGCATCTGGCAGCGTTAGATAGCAGTGAAGGTCACCTGCTTCTATAGCTCGAAGAACGTCCTTTGGCAGAGAAGTTTTGAAGTCACCAACTAGGATCAATAATACTTTACAATAAAAGCTCTGAACATTTTCAAGAAGTATGCTGGATTTTTAGAAAACCCTAATGCTGTATATAAAAATTTCCAGTTATTAGTTCACTTCCAGGCAAGTCTCTTTGATGCTCTTCTTTATATTCTTAAAAGGAAGTTGATGTCATGGTTGATGTTGTAAGCAGGTGAGTGATCTTTTTAGAAATCTTGTGTTATGATCAAGCTAAAGTGAAAAACATGGAAAGACACGGATTCATTTTATAAAATATTTATTTAAATACATACCATGGTTTTTCAGACTGTTGTTACTGAATCTGTCATTTGTTCTCAATGTAACTATTAGAATAATAGTAGTATAAAACGTGCTTACTTCCAGTACTATATTTTGTTACTCAGATTATGAGCAGAGAAAGGAAGTATGATGTTAAGAATAATGTTTTTAAATCATGACCCAAAGAATGTCTTCTTCATTTGCACTATCCTTCAGAATACCTAGAGGTATTCTATTGTATTAAAAAAAAAATGTTTGTAAGGGTATAATCTTGAAATGGGTAGTAGCCACTGTCTATAACCTATTTAAACATTGGGACAATTAATAACGTTGAAATAGTAATTGCTAACTCATATGTAACATTTTCTTATATTAATCCTGAAGAATAAGATATTTTTATGATGAATTTAAAAATAAGTTCTCATGATTTTCCACATGAATGTTAAAAGTTTAACCTTTAACTATGGCATCAAGAAAAGCACAGGATTTTCATATTTGGGTACTTTTTGCTTTAATTATATTGTCAGGTGATTGGAAGTCAGATATTTGTGAGACTGGGCCACTTAAGGACTTTAGCATATGTAATAATGATATTTGTGTTAAATTGTTTGGGAAATGTTAACATAGAAACACCCTGCTTTATGAAATTATGGGTTGTATTGCAGATACATTATTCATTTAATATAAAGAGCCACTTAAAATTATTAAAATTTAAAAATATAATTTAAATTATAAAGATGATCTTTTCAGAAAAAGAGCTATTGTAGATAATACAAAGGCCTAATAATCTTGGCTAATCGTAGCATAGAGCAAAGTGCCCCCTATTTAAATTAACTTTTAGAAAAATTAATTGCCATATGGTACTCATATTAATAACCATATGGTTCATAGTGTGTATTCTCTATAATAACTGACCAAGTGCAGCTAGCTTCTAGATTTAGACTATATTGAATTTAAATTTGGTATTGTAGGGCCAGAGAGATAGTACTGGGGTTAAAGCACATGCCGTGCATGCAACTGACCCTAGTTAGATCCCCAGCACCACTTGGTCTCCTGAGCATTGTCTGTAGCCCTGGAGGCACCCTGAGTGTTGGAGGCCACATACTGCTGGGGTGGTCCCTATAAGTCCCTGCATCACAGGGCCCAAGCACACAACAGATCCTGGCGTCCTTGCAGTTAACTGCTGGTCCAGTTCACTGAATATTGCCAGGATTGGCCCCTGAACCCTCTGAGTACTGCTTGGGATAATACCCACATCCAATTAAGTAAATTTGGTTATTCATTATTATAATATGCTACCAAATATAGTAGCTTTATTAAAACAAATATAAGAAAATACTGTGTCATGACAGTTTGCTTTTCCATATTCTTTTTCTCTGTACATTTATGTTTAAAGTTAATTGTATAACATTGCCAGAGTTTGAAAAAATCGTTCAGTCTCTTACTAGATGTAGACATTTTTTGGTTTTATTTTCAGGGATGAAATAAAATATATTATTTGTACTTACAAAATGTTAAAAGTTTCTTCTGTAACGAGGGTTGTGTATTTAACAATTGTTAGATTATTAATACGAATCCTAGATAATTTGGGGTTTTGTTTCCATCAAGTTCCAGATGTCTTTTTTTTTAATGTAGGCGTATAGCTAGTTATTTAGCCATTGATTAGGCTGATTTAATTGAGCATAACTCCACCTTACTTTTTTTTTTCTTTCCTATAAATTTATTTCTTGAATCTCCGTGATTGCAGTTATAAAGCTTTCAGGTTTAAGTCTCAGTCATACATGATGAAACACCCGTCCCTTCATCAGTGTCCATTTTCCACCACCAAAAACTCTAGTATGCCCCCCATCCCATATCCTCCCCCCTACCTGTGGGGCAGATGATTTCCACACTACTCTCTCTACTTTGATTATATTCAATATTTTGACACCAGACCCACCATTTTATTTGGGACTTTACCCCAGCACTCGAGCGGGCCCAGTAACATTGTGAGACTTGTTACTGTGTTTGGCATATTGAATCCCATTGTTAATCGATTTGTTTGATGAACAACGGGAGGACAGTGACAGTGACAGTGACCCCAGCACTCAGATCTGCCGAAAAGGCAACCATAGACAATTTGTTTTCTGTTGCTGGTTATGAATAACATGATGTTGCATGGTCACAGTGGTGGCAGCGTGATTTTGGAATTCTGAAATTTTAACAATTAAATCTGGAGGGATTTCTGCCAAAACCTGCTAGGTTCCGAGATTTGTTCCTGAGTCTCTGGGATCATGGCCATTCAGCAGCTTGATCAGGAGCCAGAGGGGTTGTTTGTGGGCGGTGACTCGGGATCTCATTGGGCAGGGAGGAAAAGGCCGGATCCATCCCTATCCCGTGAGGCCCCACGTGTCTGTCTTGTCACTGTGGGTCCAAACCTGACTGTCCAGTGGCCTCTGGAGAACGGTTGCCACCGAGCTGCCAGGGGAAACAGGCCAAGGCACAAAACCTATTCCCACCTGGGGTGGCCTGGCACCAGTAACTTACTGCGGGGACTGGATGCATTTCTGCCAAAAGCCACTTGATTCTGAGATTTGTTTCTGAGTCTTTGCAATCATGGCTGTTAAGCAGCTTGATAGGAGCCAGAGAGGCCGTTTGTGAGTGGCGACTTGGGTTCTTATTGGGGCGGGTAGGAAAGGGCCGGCTTCACCCCCATCCCGTGAGGCTCCATGTGTTTCGTCACTGCGGGCCCAAACCTGACTGTCCAGTGGCTTCTGGAGGATGGCGGCCACTCAGCCACCAGGGAGAACAGGCCAAAGCACAAAGCCTATTCCCACCTGGGGTGGCCTGGTACCAGTAACCTACTGTGGGGACCGGATGCATTTCTGCCAAAAGCCTCTGGGTTCCAAGATTTGTTTCTGAGTCTCTGGGATCATGGCCATTTGATCAGGAACCAGAGAGGCCTTGCCTTCAATTATATAGCTGAGCCGGAGATGGTTTGTGGGTGTGTCTCCCACATACCTAACTTTTGGACTTTTACTTTCTTGGTAAACTTGGCCCCAAGTTGTTGGGGTCTGGCCAAAGGCATGGCAGCAATTTTGGAGTATCTAGAAGCCTGAAGGCACCATCAGGATGCTGATGCACTTACCTCACAGGTACAGATTGACCTGCTGTTGGCACCATACCCCTCCTCCCCCAGATGTCTTTTTTTTTTTTTTCCGAGATGTCTTTTTTTAAAGGAGAAAATTATATTGTTCACCCATAAAGGCACTGATAAGGGGAGAAAGGAACGCTCATTCATGGTTGTTGGGAATGTTGACTGGTCCATCCTTTTTGGAAAACAATATGGATATTCCTCAAAAAATGAGAAATTGAGCTCCCATTTTACCCAGCAATACTACTTCTTGGAACATACCCTGAGGGCCCCAAAACACATAGCAGAAAAACCATCTGCACTTCTATATTGGTTGCAGCTCTATTCACAATAGCCAGAATCTAGAAACAACCTCAGTGCTTGAGACAGATGACTGGATAAACTATGGTACATCTACACAATGGAACACTACACAGCAGTTAGGAAAAATGAAGTCATGACATTTGCTTATAAATGGATGGAAATGGAGAGTATTATGCTGAGTAAAATGAGTCAAAAGGAGAGGGACAAATATAGAATGCACTCATTTGTGGAATATAAAAGAAAGAGTATGAGACCAATATCCAAGGCCAGGTAAAACAAAGGCCAGGAGGAATGATCAGTGGAAGCTTGACACAAGTGTGTGTATGGAGAAGAGGAGGAGGACAGAATAGTTAGGATAGAGAAGGGACCAGTAAGACAATAGAAATCATTCTGGACAAGAACTGAATATTGAAAATAGGTGAAGGAATATACATAACCTTTTCGTATCTATTGCAAACCATAATGCCCAAAAGGAGGGGAGGAGGGAGGAGAAGAGAGGAAAAGTGCTTGCCACAGAGGATGGGGTGGGAGGGGAACTGGTGGGAAATGTACACTGGTGAAGGGATGGGTGTTGGAACATTATATAACTGAAACCCAATCACGAATAACCTTACAACTGTGCATCTCACTGTGATTCAATAAAATATTAAAAAATAATTCTTATTCACGATAAGAACCTGAGTTCAGAAATCAAAGGTGGTTTCCTCAAGTTAAAGTTTATTGTTGAGTCTTCAACAGTTCAGTCTTAGTATTTATAGCTTCTTACTCTTAGTTCATTGGCACACTAACAACAGAGAGTCTCAAGAAAATCTTCAGTTTACCGATGCCCTTTTCCTGAACCTTGAGAAAGCCCTATTCCACCGTCCTTAACTGGTTGACTTTTTTACTGAGCACAACCGCTTGACACGTAGACTCATCAAATGGCTCAGGTGGTCTGGCATCCTTTTCTTGCAAGGATTCTTGTTCCTGAATGTCGGAACTGGAGACTAGAGGAAGCAGAGCCTCAAAATTCTGCAGACACTCCGCAAAACCAGCGAAAATTTCAACACAAAGCCTTTGAGCCATTTTCTGTGCACCCATCATCTTCAAGGCCTTTCACTCACTCCCTGGTTATTTGACGGGCACCTCTGACAAAGCAGGGGAAGGGGAGCCGCAAAAGGGGAGCGGGCGGGCTTGGGATACGTGTCCACGCCCCGCGAGCGCGGCGGCCGGGCAGCGCGCGCACCGGGGCGGGGTCCTGGTCCCCGGCCTGGCCAATCGGGCGGGGAGCGGGAGGGGCGCGGTCGGCGGGGCTGGCGGGGCTGGCCGCTGGCCTCGGACCGGCCACTTCCCCGCGGGCCATGGAGCGGCTGACGTTACCTGCCGGGGGCGCGGCGGCCGTGGACGAGTACCTGGAGTACCGGAGGTGAGGACGCGGGGCTGTGCGGCGGGGGCCCGAGGTCACCGCCGGGGCTCCCCGAATCCGTTCAGGGAGGCTGACATTTGATTCCCGGTATCGTCTTCCTGTAATTAAATATTACGCGCAGTTCTAGACTAATAAAGTCTTCCGGGAGCCTATTTAAAAGGCCTCTCGCTCCATCTACCTCCAAGAAGGATTATTTACTCTAGATTTTATGCAGAGGTGCAATTTGTATTTTAAAAGACCAGTGATTAGTGCTCGTGTGTGTGTGTGTGTGTGTGTGTGTGTGAGAGAGAGAGAGAGAGAGAGAGAGAGAGAGAGAGAGAGAGAGAGAGAGAGAGAGAGAGAGAGAGAGAGAGACGTTTCGTCCTAGGGTGAGGTCGTGAACTTGTAAATGTGCCTCCATCCCCCGGAACAGCCGCACGGATCCGTGTAGTTTCGGGGGGTTCCGGAGCAATTCTAGGAAACGAGCAGCTCCTTGGGTTCGTGGACCCAGGGGTTTCCTGCGCCCGGACCCGACGGGTGGTCTCACTCGTGGTGACAAAGCCTTCTGCCATCTCCTAAGAAATATATTTGACCGCCCGGGAAACTGGGCGAGTGGGAATCGTCGGAGAGGGAGGCAGGAGGATGTGGCACTGATGCGCGGGAGAGGGGAAGAAGCACGAAGCCACACGGTCACCGTTCAAGCCGGTGGAACCCCAAGCTCCTAATACTCTTGCTTGCTTTGGACCACGGGGTCGCTCCCCGGTTCCTGTTTGGGCTCTCGGGTTCCCTAACCGACAGCTTTCCCTCACTCCCCTGAAAAAATAAGGAGCTGGGTGGGGCTGGTTTCACCTCGGGTAGGGCCAGCTCCGGTGAACGCCTGAGTCCCGTGAACGGAGGACGTTCCGCTGAGCCGGAGCGGGACTGGCTCCTGCGCCGTCCAGGTCCGTCCAGGTCAGTGCAGGAGCAAGTTGATAGAAATGGGTGCGGAGTGATAATGTAGCACTTAAGACATGTGGATTCGTGGGCCTCCAGTTATATAAGTCTCTTGCTCTGCCCAGAAAATGGAGGGTGGAATGGAAATTATTATGCAAAGCATTAAATAAGCTGGAACAAATCCATAGAAGAGACTCTGGAGCTTTGGGAAAGTTGGGGAAAGTCGGCCTTGGGTGCCTAGATTTGAAAGGACCCTGAAAAGGTAAGCTGATAAATCAAGGTCAGAAACACACATTCTTTCCCTATTCAGCCTGGACTGCGTGTGTGCCTTTCTGGGCAGCATTTGCAAGGGGAAGCTGGGGGAGGAGTTTTGCTACTTAAGAGTAGCAAAATGGGGCTTCCTGAGCGTTTGTTTGAAATGCAGACCAAGGGTCCCAGCGATACTCAGTGGGCAAGACGCTTGCCTTGTCTTACACGGCCAGGATTCTATCCCTGGCATCCTTTATCGGTCTCCCCAAGCACCGCTACAAGTGATCCTTGAGTGCAGAGCCAGGAGTAAACCCCTGGGCATAAAAAAAAAAAATGCAGACTATCAGGTCTTCCTGGAATTGTTAGTCTGAATCTACATTTGTTCAAAATCTCCATAGCATTTAGTAAATAAATACAGTTTGAGAAGCACTGATTTAGAACCAAAGTACAGATGATCTCTTCCTTTAAAGGTTTGCATTAATTTTAAGGCACCTATTACTTGTAGCAAAAATAAACGGAAATGGCCCAAAACTTACTTTAGAATAAAATCGTTGTTGTTGTTCTTTAAAAAAAAGTTATTGTATATCTAAATTATTTATGTAAGGGAAAATATTGATAGTTAATAGCTTATGAATGTTTTAAAAAATGTACCTATTTATATATAAGGCTTTTTTTTTTTTTTTGGCCAGGGCAGGAAGCATACCCAAGGAGGCTCAGAGATCACTCCTGGCTCTGCACTTAGGAATTACTTCTGGTGTTCTCAGGGGACCATGTGGGATGCCAGAGATTGAACACGGGTCTGCTGTGTGCAAGACATGTGCCTTACCTGCTGTACTATCTCTCTAGCCCTGAAAACATTTATTTATTATTTTATACATAAGGATTAAAAAATGTATTCTTGTTGTTGTTGTTGTAGAATTGTTGGTGACGATGATGGGGGGAAACTTTTTACTCCCGAAGAATATGAAGAATATAAAAGAAAAGTTTTACCTCTGCGTTTACAGAACAGGTTATACGTGAGCTGGCGATCACCAACTGGAATGGATTGTAAGCTTGTGGGCCCAGAGACACTGTGCTTTTGTACACATAGGTAAAATATTTTCTTGCTAACTTTCCTTGTGATTATAAAGTATAAAACTGTAGCAGAGTGTGTCTTCTCTAGATAACATTAGATAAATGTCTAGATAAATGTTTCTCTGTGATAGAGAAACATTTAAAATAAAACTTTATCTAATACACTGGGGCTGGAGTGATAGCACAGCGGCAGGGCGTTTGCCTTGCACGCAGCCAACATGGCTGACCTGAGTTCGATTCCTCCACCCCCTCTTGGAGAGCCCGGCAAGCTACAGAGAGTATCTTGCCTGCACGGCAAAGCCTGGCAAGCTCCCCATGACGTATTCGATATGCCAAACACAGTAACAAGTGTCACAGTGTTACTGGGCCCGCTCGAGCAAATCGATGAACAACGGGAGGATAGTGATAATGATCTAATACATTAAAAATTAAAGTGTTTTCTTTGCATGCTGTGTCAGGTTTTCAAAAGATCATAGTCTATTAGAACTCATTAATAGAATCTTGTCACCATCTTCTGTCATGGAAATAAAAGGTTTAGGTGCTCCTGTGACTTTGCCAGGGTTCTTTCTATTAGATTGGGGTACCTCCGCTCTCCCACTAGACAAGGCCAAGGAGGTGTAATCAGACTGCAGAACTGCTTTTTTTTGGGGGGAGCCACCCAAGTGGTACCTGGTAGTGGCTGGGGTCTGCTCCTGGCAATTCTCAGCCAACCATTTCTGTTGGATAATGTGACAGCCTGAGCATACAGTTCTGCCGGGTTCTGTGGTGCTAGGGACCACCAGGGACACCCCAGCCATGCCCGGAACCTCCAGAGCGCCATGGGCTACCCCCAGCAGTGCTCAGAGACATCCCAGACTAATCGAGTGTTGCCTGGGAGCAAGGCAGTGTCAGGGATGTGGAACTGCTTGCCTTAAGAGTTGCTTGAATTGGTTTGCTCTTCCAGCCCATGTTCTCCCTTGAACCTGTATCTGGCTTGCTTGTGTTTGTGTTTCTTTGTTTCTTGCTTATTTCTACTCTGGAAAAACCCACCCATATTCTTTCTCGAACACATTTCCTTTCCTCTCACATCTTTCTAATGAAGTTTCATTCAGTAAAAACTACCTTGCTTTACTAAAAAAATTTAAAAAAAAGAGTTGCTTGAATTGACTCCCAGGCAACATTCCTTAATGATGGTAATCATCCTTTTGACATTAAGAAATATATTCAGCCCAACCAAGGTCACCAGCTGCCCCCCACGAGCGGCTCTCCGGCACGGCCACGGCCCCGGAGGCACAAGGACTTAGCACAGAGAACCAGCCGCTTGGAGCAGAAAAGCAAATGGACTATGTGTTAAACCGTGCCACCAAGCCTGCCCGGAGGGGAAAAGGTGTTGTCCCGCTCGCCCGCTCCTCTCTGCAAAGAAAGATGGCGGCCGCACGGGAGCCTTGTGGACAGCAGGTTTGAGCCGGGGGCGGGGGGCAGCGGGGGCCTCATGGGAAGGGGGGCGTTCTGGGCCGTCCTTCACGTCCAACCGAGGTCACCAGCTGCCCCCCACGAGCGGCTCTCCGGCACGGCCACGACTCCAGAGCACAGAAACCAATCTCTTAACTATCTAACTTTTAATAGAAATACTTCCAGGGTTAGTAAGTGAAACAGCAGAAATCCAAAACCGCGTGGCCGCTATTGCGGCCGCGCGACATCATTTTTTTCTTAAACCAAGCTGTAGAAAGCAAATCATTTCACAACACTGTTTCAGCATATCTGATTGGGGGGGGGGGTCGTAAACTCTAAACAATAATTGTGTATCTTCTATCGAAACAATGTATCTAGTCAAAGTGGATAGAGTATTAACTAGAACTCATCTGCCTCACAGGAATTGGGAGGGGTGGGAGGTGGGGTTCTATTGGGGTTCACGGTTAAAAATAAGTATTGGTAAAGGGAAATGTGTTTGATACTTACATGACTGAGACCTAAACCCGAAAGCTCTGTAACTTTTCTCACAGTGATTCAATAAAGAAATAAAGTATTAAAAAAAAACAAACAAAAAAGAAATATATTCAGTGTCTTTATTTAAACCAACAAAAATACGAGCACTGAGCGCTTTATTACAGAGGGCCATGTTTCAAGGGAAGCACAGGGAGGGAAAGGCAATATATGAGGGGCCAGTGGTTGGGGTGTTTTTCCTTAATCTAAGGTATGCAACGTGTCTGCCTTCATCATGCTCTTCTTCACATTTTTCTACTTCTCCTGTAGCAGGTCACAGTGTAAAGCTCAATGGAATCAAAGGTCTTCTTAGAAGAAAATCTCCAAGCCTATTACGTGTTGCTTTAAGTAACAGCTCTGACTTTCTGTTCTTAAGGAGCTGTGGGAAGAGCACACCCTGTTTGTATAGTTTCAGGAGTGCTTTCATGAGATTCTTTGTGCAGTTGCTATTTACACACATGGAGTTTGCCAGAGTTTGTTGGGCAGTTGCTAGGATGAGTAATTTGTACATAATTTGACTTTAAACTTACTTATTTAGCAACCCCAACCAAAACTGTGGAGGAATGGAAGGTGAGGCTTATGCCAATATCTTTCAGAATTGAGAAGGCATTTTGGTAAATTTGTGTTAGTTGTATAGTCTTTTCTTGTGTGAATAGAAGGCCAGTCTCTTAGTGGTATACACCTTCCATGAATGTAACCTTCAAATGGACACAATCCAATTTGGAATGGCAAAGTTCTTTAGTTTCTCAGTGAGAGCGCTTGCTTCCTTCTTTCTTTCTTTCTTTCTTTCTTTCTTTCTTTCTTTCTTTCTTTCTTTCTTTCTCTCCCTTCCTTTCTCTCCCTCCCTCTTTCTTTCTTTCTTTCTTTCTTTCTTTCTTTCTTTCTTTCTTTTCTTTTCTTTTCTCCTTCCTTCTTTCTTTCCTCCCATCCTCCCTCCCTCCCCCTCTCTCTCTTTCTTTCTTTCTTTCTTTCTTTCTTTCTTTCTTTCTTTCTTTCTTTTTTTTCTTTTCTCCTTCCTTCTTTCTTTCCTCCCATCCTCCCTCCCTCCCCCTCTTTCTTTCTTTCTTTCTTTCTTTCTTTCTTTCTTTCTTTCTTTCCTTTCTTTCCTCCTTACTTCCTGGAATTACTCCTAGTGGTGCTTGGGGGACCATCTGGGATGCCAGGGATCGAACCCAGGTCAGCCACATGCAAGGCAAGTGCCCTACCTGCTGTGTTAGCACTCTGGTCCTTCCTTCCTTCCTTCCTTCCTTCCTTCCTTCCTTCCTTCCTTCCTTCCTCCCTCCCTTCATTCCTCCCTCCTTCCTCAGCAGTCAGTGCTCAGGCTTACTCCTGGTTCTGTTCTCAGGGATCAACTGTATTGGGTGCTGGGGATAAAATTCAGGATGGCTACATGCAAGGCAAGTCCCCTACTTGCTGTACTATTGCTCCAGCCCAATTAAAAAAAAAGTTTTTTTGTTTGTCTTTGGGTTGCATCCAGCGATACTCAATGGTTACTTTTGGCTCTGCACTGAGGAATTATTCCTGGCAGTTTTTTGGGGACCATATGGGATGGTGGGGATTGAACCACATGCAAGACAAGTGCCCTACTTGCTGTATTGTTGCTCTGGCCTCCTAAAAACATTTTTAATGCAAAGGTTGTATTTCCACATAAAATGATCTGTTAGCAGTGGTTTAAAGGAAGTATTTTTCTTTGCATATTGTTGTGAAAAATTAGGTAAAAATTACTTTAAAAAAATCTGTTAAGAGTGAATGTTTTTCTATGATCAAATCACCACAGATACCATACAGCAGGTGGGGAAGTTCATTGTCACCTTCCTAACAAGTATAACCAAAGAGAGACAACTGCTCACTCGCCAAATTATATTTGCACTTATTGAAAATAAAATTTTAAATTTTGGTAGTATCCAAGCTGTTGATATTTCTTCCCTCTTATATTTTCTAAGGTACAAACAACACAAAACTGACTTTGAAACGATTCCACAGCAGCGCCCCATCAGTCTGCCATGCCGAGTGCCCGGCTGCAAGTGCCAGGCCTACCGCTATGTCCCGCTGAACGGCACGCAACCCATCCGCTGCAGGTGCAAGCACTTTGCGGACCAGCATAGCGCTGCGCCTGCCTCTGTCTGCCACGCTTGTGAGTTCCATGGTTTCCAGCTCATAGACAAAATGTTTGTTTCTTTACTGAAAAGTTAATGTGATGTTAAATGACTGAGAAGAACTCAGTGGATAGTCATGCTAACACTGTATGTGTGTAAAAAGTTATTGTTTTTTTTTTTCTGTCAGAAAATTTAAACAGTTATAACCCAAGAAAGTTAAATAATGGCTGGTGCGATAGCACGCTGGGTTCGATTCCTCCGCCCCTCTTGGAGAGCTCGGCAAGCTACTGAGAGTATCTCACCCACACGGCAAAGCCTGGCAAGCTACTCGTGACGTATTCAATATGCCAAACACAGTAACAACAAGTCTCAAAATGGAGACATTACTGGGCCTGCTCGAGCAAATCGATGAACAATGGGAGGACAGTGATTTTAAAGAGCCATGACACATGTTCTGATGTAACTTTTTGAAAGGTGGGAGCATTTTTCTGGCCAATTATTACCAAAAACATAGACTGGGAGGAAAAACAACAGTTGTAATGCTTCGGATGTAATACCACCAATTTCTGGGCTGGATGCAATTTCTGGGCTGGAGTGATAGCACAGCGGGTAGAGCCTTGCACGCAGCCGACCCAGGTTCGATTCCTTTGCCCTTCTTGGAGAGCCCAGCAAGCTACCGAGAGCATCTCGCCTGCACGGCAAAACCTGGCAAGCTACCCGTGACGTATTTGATATGCTAAAAACAGTAACAAAAAGCCCGCTCGAGCAAATCGATAAATAACGGGAGGACAGTGCTACAGTGCAGTTCTACTGCAATTTCTATTACCCAGATCTATCCTCTGTGCCCCATCTTGTGTATCCTTTCGTTTGATCATTCTTCTAAAAACCTAGAGGAATAGGAGGGTATTAGACAGGTGACTTCAGGAGATAGTTACTTCAGTTGATTTTATAATAATTTGAATTGGAATCTGAGAATGAAATTTAAAAAATAAAAACCATTTTTAGGGCTGGAGAGATGGTACAGGGGGTAAGGTGCCTTGAACATGGGTGATCCTAGTTCTATCCCTGGCACTCAGGTGGTCATCTCCTGAATATTGCCAAGGGTCACTCTTAAGCACCATGCCATGAGTAGCCCCTGAACACTGCCAGATTTTTTGGGGGGTCACACCCAGTGATGCTCAGGGGTTCCTCCTGGCTCTGCACTCAGGAGTTACTCCTGGCGGTGCTTGGTGGGTTATACGGGATGTTGGGAATCGAACCTGGGTTGGCCGTGTGCAAAGCAGAGTAAACTTTAAAATATTTTTATCATTCTGAAAGCGGTCCCATATTAATTGTAGTCATTCTTTATTTCTCCCGATCATCAGCCCTAGGAAACTAATGATCTACTAATTTTCTTTCTTTGTGGATTATTTATTCTAGATATTTGATCTAAAAGGAACTATAAAATATAGTTCATGATTGGTTTCTTTCGCTTAATATGTTTTATGATTCATCCAGGTTATGTATGTACCAGTACTTTTCCCCTTTTTTATTGCTAAGCAGTATTCCATTGTATCTGTGGGTTGTTCTTCAATGGACTATTATGAGGAATTGAAGCAAGAAAGTGTTCTACATTATCTCTTCACTTGGTCTCCAGACTCTTCCTACCATATAGGCTTCTAATCAGTTTTTCAAAACTGGGCCTGAATTTCCTGGATGTCCAGTTGAGCCCAATTTCTTTTCGTATAAAAGTTGATTTTCTTGACATTCCCCCATACTCCATTTTCTCTCTTGTTACTCTGGCATCTTATAGAATTAAAAGCAATGACTGAGAGAGAGTTCAGGATGGAGGTAAGGGAGGGGCCACAGGATAAGACAAGAAGGATCCAGATTTAGCTTCCTTTAACCAAGAAAAATCTTTTTAGGGAAGATAATGCAACCACTAAAACTCACTTTGTATCTTTGATTCAGGTTCCAAGTGTTCAGGATTTCACAGTTGCTTCACATGTGGTTGTGGTCAGCCTGCTTATGCTCATGACACAGTAGTGGAAACTAAGCAAGAAAGACTGGCCCAGGGCAAACCAGTGGGGCAGGATGTTCCTTATGCAGCAATGGGAGGATTAACTGGCTTCAGCTCATTGGCAGAAGGTTACATGCGATTGGATGACAGTGGAGTTGGTAAGTGATGAAATAGGAAGTAAGAGCTTGCCAGAACTATTTTATGTGTGCTAACAATGGTGAAGTCTAACATTTGTTTAGCACTTTAGAGACTTCATTTATTTTCCTCCAAAATGTCTCATTTTATTTTTATTTATAATTTTAATTTATATTTTGTTGTTGTTGTTGAGTTAATGTTGGTTTATAAGACCATGTGTTAGCGGTACAGTCATACTTTCTGACTCACCAGCTCTATTGATTTTTTTTTTTTGAGAATGCAGATTGGATATTTTTATTATTTACTTAGTTATTTTAGTTTTTGCTTTCTTTTGCTTTTTGGGTCACACCTGGCGATGCACGGGGTTATTCCTGGCTCATGCACTCAGGAATTACTCCTGGCGGTGCTCAGGGGGACCATATAGGATGCTGGGAATTGAACCCGCATGCAAGGCAAATGCCCTACCCACTGTGCTATTGCTCCAGCCCCTATATTGATTTTTTAATGTTAAGCCTCACTACTGTATTTCACAGTTCTGTTGTAATGTGTGTGTGTGTGTGTGTGTGTGTGTTTGGGCCACAGCCAGAGGTGCTGAGGGGCTACTCCTGGCTTTGATGCCCTAGGATCACTCTTTGTGGTTCTCGGGGACCACAGGTAGTGCTAGGGATCCAACTCAGGCTTCCTTCATGACAAACATGCACTGGGGTTAATTGAACTTTCTCTCCAGACCATCAACTATTATAATTTTTAATTCTGGTACTTCTCTTTCTCTTTGAATTTTTTTTTAAACTATTCAAGGCCTCAAACCCAGGGCTGTACTCTGATGTTCAGCAACACCAGTGTCCACTGTTTTTTTTTTTTTTTTGAGTCACACCTGGTAATGCTCAGGGGTTCCTCCTGGCTCTGCACTCAGGAATTACTCTTGACAGTGTTTGGGGGACATATGGGATGTCGAGGATCGAACTCTGGTCAGCCGCCTACCTGCTGTACTATTGCTCTGGCCCAGTGGCCACTGTTATATTTTTGTTTCTCTTTTGGGGCCATGCTCAGCTGTGCTCAGGACTTAGTCCTGGTTCCGTGTTCAGGGGCCACTCCAGGTGGGCTTGGGGGACTATATGAGGTGCTGGGGATTGAAATTCAAACGGGATGAGAGATGGTATAGTGGGTAAGGCATTGCCTTGCCCGCTCTTTGAATCTTTAAGTAGAGTTTTTTGCTATAGATCTCATTTTGTTTACCCATTGTTTTTTTAAAATTTCACTTAATATTATTATTCCCCTTGTTTTGTTTTGGGGCCAAAACTGATAGTGCTCAGGGGTCTCTTAGCACTGTGCTTGGGGATTGTTTCTGGTGGTGCTCAGGGGACTCTGTGATGCCAGGGTTTGGATCTGGGCCTCCTGCATGAAAGCATGTGCTCAGCCTGTTTCACCCTCATTTTATTTACATTAGAACTCTATTTTGGGTTTTTTGTTGTTCTCAACAATTTGTGGGGAAATGCTGTCTTCTCTTTTTCTTTACTATTGGACTAAATTAATTTAGTATTGTACATTAAAAGGTTTGTGTTGAGTTGTGTGGTTGTTTTAGGCCTTGTATCACTGTTGTAGGCTGTAGAATGTAACCCTGGGGCATTCACTTAGGATATCCTGGTGTATGTTGCCTTCTGTATGGGCAGCCCTGAACCTGCTTAGATGATTGGAGGTCTGGTGGCCACACCTGGTAGGAAGTGAGGCAGCTGAGTGTGGAGAGGTTACTGTTTGAGAAACAGCACAGTCAAACCCTCCAGGGGTCCGCTAGTGCTAAGCAGTGGGGGCCGAGATGTGTAAACTCCCTCTCCTCTAGGCTGGGTCTCTAGTCTAGTCTTTCCCAGCTGCTTCATGTTTGTTACCCCTTTTCTGTGTTCTAGTTCTCGACTGTCGGGCCTGTCACTGAACCTTTCAGAGGGGTGCATGGGAGGAGAGCAGGGCAGAAGCTGTGGGGTTGACTGTGTCAAGCAGTCATGGAGCTGTCACAGAGACACAGGGAGGATGGCCCACTGAGTTTCTGGATGCCATCAGCAATCTTCTCCCTACTGAGCCACTTGCACTCCAGGCTTGACTGAGACCGTAGCATCTTAGGTGAATGAGAGTTCCAGTAATGGATAGAGCAGGTATTCTGCATAATCCACTGCCAGGTGCGAAGAGGAGCAGCCTTTCGCAGGATTTCACAGTCTTCTTGCACCTGGCAGGTTACAAGTTGAGCTCTTAGTCTTGCTCCCAGACAAGGGCATCCCAGTGACCACAGGGACAGTCTCTTACATCGGGCACTCCAGCAGCAGGGATGCCTTATCCTTAACTCTTGGCTCCTTGGCTGATGGCTGCCATTGTATGTGTCAGCTCCCCGAGTTCTGGACCAGTGGCTGATAACCCCCTTTTCCCCACCAGTGGCCCACTGCTCTCTGGAGTACAGCATTTCTCTCTTAACTATGCCTCAAGTCACAGCCTTCCTCTCTCTTGCATGCCCCCTGGGGATCCCCTTTTTCCTCTCATGTCTGGTCCTGTCCCAGGTCCTGTATTTTACTTTGTCAATCATCTGCCCATTAGCTGGAAATGTTGGGAAGAGAGTTGGCGGTCTGGCCATTGGGTCTCTCCTCCTGTCTAGGCAGGATGGCCATCCTGCCAGAATCCTCAGTGCTAACTTTTAGAACCAAATAGAACTGAAATGTATTTCTTTTGAGCCATGGTGGTGGGGAGCGGGCTCAGGGGGGAAGTGGTTTTGTGAAGAAGATAGAACATGTTTTCTCTGCAGCTTCCTTCCTTTTGGTCCAAAACTTGATGTATTTAGCAGTTGGTCTTTGTAGCTTGTGGTATGGAGTTGTGGATAATTTCTTACTTTATGCAAGCAGAAGTTGTCTTTTGTTTTTATAAAGTTCAGTAACGAATACAAATAGGGCTGAGAGATAGTTCGGCAGGTAAGGTACTTACCTTGCATGAGAGTTATCTGGGTTTGATCCCTGGCAATATATGATCCCCTGAGTACCGCCAGGGGTGATCACTGATCACAGAGCAGGAGTAAGCCCTGAACAACACTAGGTATGACCCCCAAACCAGCAAAAGTTCTTTATTATACCCTTTCCAACTTAAGGTTCTTATGCATGTAATTGATTTCTTTAAAGTGTTTTATGAGTATACTAAGGTTTAAAAAAAATTTCTTTGCCGACATATTTATAATTTGTATATAATTTGTACATATTTTTTTCTGTAAAAATTTCTATGAGAAATAAAAAGATACTTGTATTCATTTGCCTTTGTAAGTTAATATATCTTTTTGTAGAAAATATTTTTTCTGATGACTCTCCTGAGGTTCCAATTTATTTCATATTAAAAATAACAACTTATCTAGACCATTACATGTTGAGATTTCATGTTTGTTCTTTATATATTTTGCTCTCAGGTGTCCCTTCAATTGAATTTTTAGATTCTCCAGCTACATCCACGGATCATCCATTTCTAAAAGCATTTCAAGCACCCTCTAGTTCTCAAGAAACACAAAAAGGTGAAAATGAAATTAAATTATTTATAGTAATTAAGAATATAAAGCTTTTATTAAATTTCTGGCACCTTCCTCCCCCATATTGTAATTTGATTATTGTTTCGTCAGATAAATTGAGAAAAGGTTCAGGAACTGAGAAAAAAACTAGAAACTTCATTTTTCATTGGGAAAAGTAATTAGATTTAACTATTAACTAGAGAATCGTGAGGATTGTGGTAATACTATAGTTTGAATTTTTAAAACCTTGTTCAGGTATATGCTTTTCAGGTAAACTGCTTTCATATTTGGATATGAGAGCCCTCTAGTGATCTAAACTGCTTTGATCTTTTAAGTGTGCCCCCAGATAGAATCCGAGATCAGAGAGAACTCAACTGAGTACAGAGAAATGCTACGTATGGAGAAATGCTGTACTCTGTGAGCCTGGAATAGCCCCTGAGCACTGCTGGCTGTGGCCCCCCAGTGAAACAAAACAAAAAACTCAAAAGATAAAATCCAGTAATGATTAGAGGTCAGCAAGTTGTATCATGTATAAATGACACATAAAAATAAAGTTGTGGCTGGAGCACTAGTACAATGCGTAACGCACTTGACTTGCTTGTGGCCGACGAGGGGCTCCATCCTGGGCATTGCATATAATCCCCTGAGCCCTGCCAGGAGTGATCCCTGAACACCGAGTCAGGTGTAAGCCCTGAGCTTATTACTTTTGGATGTTACCCCGAAACAACAACAACTGAACCAAAAAAAAATAAGAAGAAAGAGAGAATTTATATTTATTTAGTCCAGAGAGCTAGTGCTTGCCTAGCTTTAATCTCTCTCAAGGTTAAAGAGCTTACCTCACATGATTCAGATTCTGGTTAGCATCCCAGCACCATATGGTCCCCTGAACACAGAGCCAGTTCCTATGTACCATTGAATGTGACCTCCCCACAAGGAATTAATTTGTTTTTAAGCACTAATGTCCTAGTTTATCTGTAGATAACAAGATAAAAATACTAAGAAGGAATTTATAATTCAAAAGTATTTTTAAATGAGAATTTATGATTCAAAACTATTTTTTTTAAAGAGAACATTCTTTTTATTTTTTGTCTTTTTATTTTATTTTATTTTTTGCTTTTTGGGTCACACCCGGCAATGCACAGGGATTACTCCTGGCTCTGCGCTCAGGAATTACCCCTGGCGGTGCTCAGGGGACCATATGGGATGCTGGGAATCGAACCCCGGGTCGGCCGCATGCAAGGCAAATGCCCTACCCACTGTGCTATTGCTCCAGCCCCAGATTCAAAAGTATTTTTAAATGAGAATTCAAAAAGTTTTTAAAACCATGTTTTCATGTATCCCAACTTTCTTTAGAAACAATTTTAAGACAGATTACAAAAATACACAATGAGGAATTGATTAAATATAAAAACATTAAAATCTAGAAAAGGAAACAATTAACTTACCTTTCAAGATTGACACAATTGCCATATTAAGCTTGGGTTTTGACTGAGTATAGTGGCAGCCAAGGCCCAAATGATGGTGTCACCAGTTATTCTGTTGGTTTGGAGGAAGGAGAAACAAAGCTTCTGTAGTACTGCTCATACTTAAACTGATGTTGGGTTTGAAACCATTTAGATATGTTTCTCTCAATGATTATAGGGGCAAAGTCCTTAGAAACTCTTTTCAGCAAGAGCACAGTTTACCAACACTGAAAATCACCTTTCTGATAATCACCTTGGATGAAAGTGATAATGTACTATTTTACCAGCTAAATGCCTGTAAAATACAGCTCAATGAAAGTGAGCATATAAAAGAGTTCAAATTAAAACCCTGAGTTTTCAGAAAAAAATGATAGATAACTCATTATTCTAAGCAGTTTTTCATGATTTTGTCATAAGGCAGATAATAGAGGATTTTGGCAGACTATGGTTATAGTCTGGAGTGTTGACTGGAGTTGTTTGACTTGTATTGCTTGGTGAGGATGAATTTATATACTTCAAAAACTAGAATATGGGTCAGGGACACAGCTTAAAGGGCTGCAGCACATGTTTTTGGAGTTATATTTTGTTTTAATGGACCACACGTGGTGGTGCTCAAGGCTTACTCCTGCCTCTGTACCTTGGAATCACTCGGTGATGTGCAAGGAAAGTGCCCTGTCTGCTGTACTTATTCGCCAGCTTCTGGAGCACTCACTTTTCATGTGAGAACCTGGGTTTGATTCCCTGCATTGCATAGTTCTCTGAGCCAAAACAACAAAACCAAACCTGGAACAGGTACAGTTTTGGACACGAAGAGATTTAACTAAAATAATCTGAAATGACGGTCAACTTTTTCATGAGACTTGGTTGTTGGTGTATTTACACAGAACCCACTTTTTCTTTCCTGAGGCAATTCAAAGTTTTTAGTGCTTGATTAGTTTTGTAAAGTGAATGACAAGGAAAAATGTAAGAATTACTTTAGCTTTGAAAAATGTTCAGGGCAGGTAATATCCCTTATGGTCGCTTACACAAACGGTCTTAGTCCTTTTGAACTGTTGTAACAAAGACCTACAGATCAGGTGGTTATGAACAAAAGAAATTTGTTTTTTATGGTTTTGGAGGTGGGGAAGTCAAAGAACAAAACACCAACCTGGCTGTAATCCAGAGAGAAGAATCACTTCTTGGTTCACAGTTGCTGCCTTCTCTTTGTGTACTCACATGTTGAAGTAGGAAGGGATCTGTCTGGAGCGGAGGTGTCTCTTAAGAGAACAATAATTTCATTCACAAGCATTATTTCTTCATGATTTAGTAACCTCCTCAAAGTCCTGCCCCTCACATCACCATATTAAGTGTTAGGATTTCATCATATTAATTTGGAGAAACATAAAGATTCATACTATAAAACAAGTCTTCTATAATTAATTCTGTTCACCATCAGTGTTATACAGATTTCTAGGTTAGTGTTAAATTATAGAGTAGATGAATAAAGATAAGTATACTCTTATATGAAATAAATATATTTATATTTTATATATCTTATATGAAATAAATACATATATTAAAAATAAATTTTCATTTATTTTTAAATGTTATTATTATTTTTTGCTTTTTGGATCACACTCGGTGATGCCGAGGGATTACTCCTGGCTTGTCACTCAGGACCATGTGGGATGCTGGGAATCGAACCCGGGTTGGTTGCGTGCAAGGGCAAATGCTCTACCCGCTGTACTATCGCTCTAGTCCCAGAAATAAGGTGTTATTTAATATGAGCTATTGACTCTTTGGAAAAAATTTGAGAGTGAAAATACTTCTGGTTTAGGACGTTCTACTCTTAAAAAGAATTAGCTAGTAGGATCTGACATCCGTCAACGATCAAGGATCAGGGACGCTGTCTCATTTGCCAAGGTGTCGAAAATCAGATGGGCTGGTCACGTAATGAGATTTAAAGACGACCCTTGGACTAGAGCTGTTACTGATTGGATTCCACGGGATGTCAAAAGACCGCGTAGCCGCCCACCTACCAGATGGTCAGACTTCTTCGTCAAGATCATGAACAATCGGTTTGAGGCCCTTCATGTTCCCGGAGCGAACAGATGCCATTGGGCTACACTAGCACGCGACAGGGACAAATGGAGACGTTACTGGCGCCCGCTCGAGCAAATCGACGACTAACGGGAAGTTAAGTGATTAAGTGATTAAGTAGGATCAAAGATTAATTTTGGTCATTTCTGGTTTGAAAATAAAATACCATTGGGTAGGAAGAAAGCTCTATTTTAGTTTTTGTTTCAGGAGAACTTATAATTATATATATTGAATATTTTACTTTATTAGCAGGTACAAGTAATCAAGTTTCTTCCTTAAGGAGATCTGAAGAGGATGATATGGCTTTCTTTGAAAGAAGATACCAGGAAAGGGTAGGTCTGTGTGGAAATTTACTCACATTTAACTTGAAAGAAAGGTACTGCAGAGCAATTGTATATTGATTGTGGATCATTTATTTAATAGCTGTGGAAGTCTTAAGGATTATTTAGAATAATCATATAAAAACAGGATAAATGAATAATATATTTGGTTAATTTATGTAGTTCACAAAGATTGATTATATATACATATAAAATAATTAATAAAATCAACCATCAGTCCTATTTCAAACTATTAAATGCTACTTTGTTTGTTTACCACTTTTGCTCTTCTTGGTGTTACTGCATATCTAGTAGCTGGCCTTAAATAAGAGGGAAAGGAGAAAGATTTTTTTTCTCCCCCTACCCCCAGGAGAATGCTTTTAAATTTTTATTTTATTGATTTTATTAAGTGACTTAATCTTTATATCTATGTTACATCTTTGGGCTGGAGCAATAGCACAGTGGTAGCACGTTTGCCTTGCAAGTGGCCAACATGGCCAACCCGAGTTCAATTCCTCCGCCGCTCTCGGAGAGCCCGGCAAACTACTGAGAGTATCTCGCCCGCACGGTAGAGCCTGGCAAGTTACCCGTGACGTTTACACAGTAACAGTTCTCACAATGTAGACATTACTGGGCCCGCTTGAGCAAATCGATGAACAACAGGACAGTGACAGTGACAGTGATCTATGTTATATCCTTAGTACAACTCTAAGAAGTAGTTATTTTTTTTTTCATTTTTTATAATTTTATTTATTGAATCACCGTGAGAGCAGTTACAAGGCTTTCGGGTCTACGTCTCGGTCATACAATGAAACACCCGTACTTTCACCAGTGCCCATTAGGAAGTAGTTATTATGGTGTATTTTTTTACAAGTTAAAAACTGTTGCTTAACAGCACGAAAAAGTATAATTTCACCCTATAAATGTTGTTCATAGTAACTTCTTCCTATAATTAACTTAAGAGTGAATAAAGATTTCAATGTTGGAGCCAAAAAAAAAAAAAACCCTGTTAGTTAAATAACTTTTATCAAATACTTAAATGGTGGAGGTGGGTTTCAAATTCTCTTCTATCAGAAAAGGCCTGTAATGTGCGTCTTAGAATGGAATGTTCTTTATTTTTTCGTTTGTTTTTGGGCCACACCTGGCTATGCTTAGATCTTATTTCTGGCTCTGGGCTCTGGCAAGTTTGGGAAGGAGGGTGGACCACATGAGGTGTCAGGGTTTGAACCCAGTCAGGTGTGTACAAGACAGACACCCTAACTGTTGTAATATTGCTCTGGTCCAGTGGACTGTTCTTCGGGAGTCTTTCAGATTACACATTGTCTGGTAGAGTCAGATGAGTATATGATTTCTTAATGAGGTTCTTTTCTAAATTTTATGTCAAATATTTTATATATAAAGTGAAGTTTAGATTATTCAGGAAACATTAACATAAATATAGGGACTCAATTGATTTACTTGTGAGTCATTTTTTTTAAAAATAAAAATGAAATTTCAAAGAGCATTCTGCACAATTTTCCATTATTTTGTAGTTTTTATCTGTTTTTTTTTTTAATTGAATGACCATGAGATACAGTTACAAAGCTTTCATGTTTGAGGATGGATGTTCATAAATGATCGAACATCCATCCCTCCACCAGTGTACATTTTCCACCACCAATGTCCCTAGTATCCCTCCCACAACCCCCATCCCACTCTACCCCCTGCCTCTATGACAGGCATTTTCCTTTTTACTTTCTCTCTACTTTGGGCATTATGGTTTGCAATACAGATACTGAGAGGCCATCATCTTTGGTCCTTTGTCTACTTTCAGCACACATCTCTCATCCCAAGTGATCCCTCCAATTGTCATTGACTTAATGGTACCTTCTCTATTCAACTGTCTTCTCCCACAGCACATGAAGCAGGTTTAATGAAATTTTTAGCCAACTCAAAGAAAAGATAGAGAAAAATAGGGAAGAGATGAAGGTTGTATTCATCTGATTTTTATTATTGGGAAAGTTATTTGCAATTTGAAGAGCTTGGCAGACTTTTTTTTTTGTTTGTATTCCCTGGGTTTAATGCCAAACTCTGAGGCCTGCCTGCTCTGTTCTTTATCACATAGAAAGAGTTTATGTTTCTAGAAGTCCTAAGGCTGTAGTGTAGATTTACAAAATGCTGCTGTGCGTCATTTATAGTGAAAAGAACGAACAACCTTTAAGAGAAAGACCCAGGGATGTATAGGGGAGAATTATTTGAAAGTATCTCAAAAGTGGTGCATATTCCAGAGATAATCCAGCTATATTAGGTGTATTTTGTAAAATAAGGTATAATGGATGTGCCCAGGCAAGTTTAGACAGTGAAGTTAAAAATATTTTTGTGGCAATTAAAATATATTCGATATAAAGCACAGTTATTTATTTACTTTTTAAAAAATTTTTATTGGTGAAACACCATGATTTTCTAGAATTTTCTAGAATTCTAATGAAAATATTCATCTGAACATTCCCCTCTTATTTTAAAACTTGCAAATGGATGTTATTCAGAGAATAAAATTTAAACTTTTTAAAAAAATTTTTATTAGTGAAACACCGTGAAGTACAGTTGTAGACTTACAAATTTTTGTGCTTTGGTTTCAATTATACAATGATCAAATACCCATCCCTCTACCAGTGCCCATTTTTCACCACCATGGATCCCAGTATCCCTCCCACCCCCCATTCCCCCCATCCCATCTATTTATTTACTTTTATTTATTTATTTAAATTTTTAGTAGTGAAACACCATGAGGCACAGTTGTAGACTTACAGATTTTTGTGCTTGGGTTTCAGTTATACAATGATCGAATACCTATCCCTCCACCAGTGCCCATTCTCCACCACCACTGATCCCAGTATCCCTCCCACCCTCATCCCCCCATCCCACCCTGCCTCTGTGGCCGGGCATTCCCTTTTGTTCTCTCTCTCCTTTTGAGTGCTGTGGTTTGCAAAAGAGACACTGAGTGGCAATCATGTTCGGTTTATAGTCTACTTTCATCACGCATCTCCCATCCTGGGAGGAACCTCCCAACACCCTTTATTTGGTGCTCCCTTCTCCATCTGAGCTGCCCTTTCCCCTAGCGTATGCAGCTGGCCTCAAAGCCATGGAGTAATCCTCCTGGTAATGGGGCTGGAGAGATAGCACAGCGGGTAGGGCGTTTGCCTCGCATGCGGCCGACCTGAGTTCGATTCCCAGCATCCCATACGGTCCCCTGAGCATGGCCAGGAGTAATTCCTGAGTGCAAGAGCCAGGAGTAACCCCTGTGCATCACCAGGTATGACCCGAAAAGCAAAAAAAAAAAAAAAATCCTTCTGGTACTTATTTCAGCCATTCTTAGGTGTTACTCTCCTATTTTGTTACTTTATGTTCCCCAGATGAATGTGATCTTTCTATGTCTGCCCCTCTCTTTCTGACTCATTTCGCTTAGCATGATACTTTTCATGTAGTACCACTTGTATATAAATTTCATGACTTCATCTTTTCTGATAGCTGCATAGTACTCCATTGTGTAGATGTACCAAAGTTTCTTTAATAAGTCATCTGTTCTCGGGCACTCAGGTTTTTTTCCAGATTCTAGCTATTGTAAACCGTGCTGCAATGAACAAACAAGTGCAGACGTCACTTCAACTATACTTTTTTTTGCCTCTCTGGGATATATTCCCAGGAGTGGTATTGCTGGGTCAAATGGGAGCTCAATTTCTAATTTTTTGAGAACTGTCCATACTGTTTTCCAAAAGGGCTGAACCAGTCGGCATTCCCACCAGCAGTGAAGGAGAGTCCCTTTTTCGCCACATCTGTGGCACCCATTTATTTACTTTTAAATCATACCTAGTAGTGCTGGGGTGATCCTGAGACTGAACCAGAGTTGGCCTCATACAAAGCAAGCACCACAGCTCTTCTAACATTTTGTTGCCCCCTAATTTTTGGGGGAGGACCACATTCAGAAGTGCTCAGGGCTTTGTGCTCAGTGACCACTTCTGGTGGTCATACATAGTGCTGGGGATCAAACTGGGGTGGGCTATGTGCAAGAAAAACTACTTAATAAATTTAAATAAATAAAAACAAGTCTTCTATAGTTCTGTGCACCATTAGTGTTACATGGATACTATATCTTTGGCTTCAACCAGCTACTATTTTTATTAAAATTCTTCTGTAAAATTTATATAAAACTTCATTAAGATATGCAAATAGACTCCTTCAACTATTAGGTTTTAGTCTATTTAATTGTGTTAAGTGCTTGTGATGGTAAATAAGGTATGAATCCAAAATAAGTATATAAAACCTATTTTTTAGAGCATTCTATAAATTATTATATTAATTATTTTAAATTTACAGATAAAAATGGAAAAGGCTGCTAAGCAGAAAGGAAAAGCACCATTACCATCATCTTCGAAAGCTTCCTAAAGACTGTTGGGGAAATTGAAACCACCATCCAAATATGTCTGTCTCCTTTTAATTTAAATGTAATGGTTTACTTTTTCTTAAACTATTTCTTTTATAGTATAAAATAATTATTTTTGATATTTAAGAAAAGGGCACTTGTTTAGTTTTTTGTCAAAAGTAATATTTTCTACATTGTATGTAATCATCTTTCCTAACAAATGAGGACATTTTCTTGAAAGAAAATTAAAAAAGTAGATGTTTAGTTGATCATATTAAACTTTTACAGACTAATTTAAAAAGTTTAATATGTTATTGAGGATTTTGAACAAATGTGGACCATCTTTAATTTTTTTTTTTTTTGCTTTTTGGGTCACACCCGGCGATACACAGGGGTTATTCCTGGCTTTGCACTCAGGAATTATTCCTGGAAATTCTTGGGGGACCATATGGGATGCTGGGAATCGAACCTGGGTTGTCTGCATACAAGGCAAACGCCCTACCCGCTGTATTATCGCTCCAGCCCCCATCTTTAATTTTAAAAATGGTTAGAATTATTTTTAAAACTTTATAATGATATCTTACATTTTTAATAAGAAAATATTGTATACTCATTTTCTATGTGCAGTCACTTCTGATGTTTTAAGTTGTTTTGTTTGCTATACATTGCTTGATACTGTTGAACTCCTCTGTTACTTCAAATTCATATGGTCCAATCTCTTTTATTCTGGTACTACCATGAAACATTTCCAAATAGGCTTCTGAGGGTTATTTTTTGATGATTCAGGTCATGACAATTTTGCTTCCTTCCCCAAGGATGCTCTCTGGAACTCCATGCTTCATATATGTTAACCTAAAGATGTGGGCAGTTAGGTACACCCTTAACTAGTGAGAGGCAGAAGTCAATAAATAAATGACATATCAGCTATAGCAACAGTACAGCAGGTAAGGCATTTGCCTTGCATGTGGCTGACCCGGGTTCAATATCCCGCATTCTCTGGTTCAATACCTCTGAGCACTGTCAGAAATTATTTCTGAGTGCAGAGCCAGGAGTAACCCGTGTAACTGCTGAGCATTGCCGGTGTGGCCCCAAAATCAAAACAACAAATGATATATCTTCTGAGATATTTAACTGCTGAGAAGTTAATTCTGTGATGCCATTCATTAGTTTCTTGAGAAAATCTTGTGAAACTGGATCCCGGTTACCCACAGTACTGACATCTCCAAGTACATCCTTATGTTTTCTCCTTTTTTCTGCTCCCAAATTCCTCTCTTGGTTCCTCAGACTTTTAAAATAAATTACCTCTATGTGTACATTTGTGTTAATTTTTATTTGGGGGGGGGGATGGAGGGGATGTTGGTTAAATTGAGGATAATATCAGGAACACCCTTAGAAAGCAAAACCTCAAGATGGAATTTTGTGATCAGATATATGCTGAAAAGTGGATGATGAAGATCCGAGAGCTTTTGGTAAGCGTAGTAGTGGTAATTCCTGCACATAGATTTATTAATTCTGGTGGTGGATAATGGTGAGGTACAAGTTAAAGAAGTGTTAGGTGACTTGACATTATAGTGGAATGGAACTAGTGGTTGTGTTTGCTATTATTGATTTAGAAATCTTGAAAACAAAATGACAGGGCATTTTATGCATTTAGGCATTTAAGGCACGAATTGAACATCAGGGTGCTTTAAGGAAAATCTCATTTCCCACAGATACCTACAACCCCCCTCCCCCGCCCGGCACCCCATAGGTAGATAAGCTTCAGTATGAATGAGTTTCAGGTTGCACTTAAAATATATTGGGAAAAACTCAGAAAATATATGTAGTAGTGGCTTCTGAAGGTGTTAGATCAGAGGGTGGAAAGAATTAAAGGTTTGATCCGAGAGTGTGGATGGTAGCACCTATGCCTGACTCAGGCTTTTACACCCTGGCCAAGATACCTGGAGTTGGTCTACATCATGGCTATGATGGTGTAGGTGAGATAGGTGGCACAGCATGGAGTAAGGGATCAGAAAGCTCAGGGAAGTGTCAATGTTAAAAACTGCAGATGCTGCCACTAAACTGTTTTCCCTGGGAAAGATCAGATGACACTTTACCAAGATAGAAAGAAATGAAGTGCATACCATTCCATTTAGTGGATACTTCTACAGACTAGAGCGAATGGTAGAAAATGCAGCTGAAATGATACTGGACTCCTTGATATCAAACTAAATGATGGAATGCAAAGATATTGAAGACCAAATTGTATACCTTAACTGTTAGATCCCTGGTCGGTAAAATTAATGGACAACAAGGCATGGATCTGTAATGATGTTCCAAAGGGAAGGATTGAAAGGTAGCTGACTAGGATGTTATTTTACTTATCTATGTTCCATCAAAATTCTGAAAAAATATGAGAACTGATAAGCAGAAGAATGATGCAATTAGTAATGAAAAAAATACACCCCTTACCCAGTTTCTAGAGATAAGACAGTACGGGATCTAGACCCCACTGATGGGGAAACCCATACCCCCTTGATGAACAATCCTCAGTATATATGATAAAAAATATCTTGATCCTGATAGAGGAAGTCTTTTTATATCAGTTTCCAGAATAACTATGCAGTGGAAAATGGAATACTTAGATTTTCAACCAAGGACTGCTGGACATAGGGTCTAAGTTGATATGTATCCCAAAGGATCCAAAACTCTGGTGTTTTCTTCTAGTTAGAGTTGTGTTTTATGGAATCCTAATGATAAATGTAATATTGTAAGGTTAGTTTCTGTGGGTATATGACCTATTCCACTTTATTTTTACAGTCCTAAATATATATAATATGGATAGACATAGTTGGAAGCTGATATAATTCTTGGGCCTACACTAATTGCTTTTCTTCCCACAGCTGCTTCTCAGAAAATGCAGGCTTGGGTCAGAGTTATGTATACATATGAAGTTAATGAGCATATAAAAGAGTTAAAGAACTGTTGAAGAATTTATAACACTCAACTGTATACTAACAGACTTTTTTAATGGATGCAGGTCATTTGCTAAGATTCATATTTTAAGTCATGGGCAAATATCAATATTTTAAAGATGATTCAGCTAATAAAGTATATCCTCTGACCACGAAGGAATTAAATTAGAAATAACAAAGATTCCTCAGAAATTCCAAATATTTGAAAATTACAGCACATCTCCAAATAATCATCGGTTAAATTAAAAAAAAAAAGAATCAAAGTAACTTTCAATTTAATGAAAAAAACTGCAAAATCAGAACAACTATGAGAAAGAACAAGATTGGAAACCTTATACTATGCCTTTTAGATTTTTAAAATGGGGCCTGCCATATGGGAATTAATACAAATACACTGGCCATGATGGGTGTGGTGTTTGAATGTTGTATGCATGAAACCCTATCACTGACCATACTATTGTAAATCACAGTGAGTAAAACAAAAGTTAATAAAAGACATAGAAACAACAGTAATCTAGATGCATGACATCCAGAATCTCAGATATAAAAAGAATTCAGAATCAGACTAGTACAAAAATGGTCAATGGTCTTTGACAGTAGTACAAAGGCTATTCAATGAAGAAATGATAGTGTTTTCAACAAATCGTGCTGGGAAAATTAAAAATCCATATGAAAAAAATGAACAATTGTTTCTTTGATTTGGAGCCACACTGGATACTTCTCAGGGTTTACTCCTGACGGTTTGTGAGGAACACTATGTGGTGCCGAGGATGGAACATAGTCACCATCATATGCAAGACAAAAAACACCTTATCTCTCTGGCCCACAAAAATAGTCTATGTTTCACATCTTACACAAAAATTATCTCAAGAATGGATTATAGCTCTGAATGTAAAAACTAACCAAAAAAATATAGGTGAAATCATTTGTGAACTTATATGCAACAGAGAAGCATGATAGATAGGAGACAAAACTGACAAATTTGACTCCATCGAAATTAAGAATGACTGCTCATTGAGACAACATTTTTAGAGAATGAAAAGACAAGCAACAAACTGGGAGGACATATTTGCAGATCAAATGAAGCAGCGGTCATCGAAGACATAGCCAAACAAGGCGTTCAAACTCAATAAATCAGGGTCCTCCTTGAGCTGTATTAAAGATTCACTACCAGGATCTCACCATTCTACAAGGAAGTGATCATCCATGTCAAAAGAGGGGTTTGGCAGGCTGATACCATTACACCAAAACTCTTCAGTGCCACTTCGAGAACTTCATGCGACTGGACTGGGAAGGAATGGGGGTTACTCCTGACTCTGCGCTCAGGAATTACACCTGGCGGTGCTCAGGAGACCATATGGGATGCTGGGAATCAAACCCGGGTTGGCCACATGCAAGGCAAATGCCCTACTCGCTCTACTATTGCTCCAGTTCCTACAAATGGATTTTAAGTAAAGGCCTCCAGCGGGCCCAGTAACGTCTCCATTGGAGACTTTGTTGTTACTGGGTTTGGCATATCGAATACGTCACGGGGAGCTTGCCAGGCTCTGCCGTGCGGGCTAGATACTCTCGGTAGCTTGCCGGGCTCTCCGAGAGGGGCGGAGGAATCGAACTCGGGTCGGCCATGTTGGCTGCGTGCAAGGCAGACGCCCTACCCGCTGTGCTATCGCTCCAGCGATATTTCTACTTAAAATAAGTAGAAAGCAGAAACTGTAGGGCCCGAGTTGATAGTGCACCGCGATGGTGTTTGCTTGCACCTGGCGGACCCATGTTCAATCCATGTCATTCCATTTGCTCCCCCTGAGCCCACCGGGAGTAATCCCTGAGTGCAGAGAGTAAAGCCCCTGAGCACCAACCAGTGTGGTCTCAAAACACAACCAAAGAGCAGAAGAATGTTACGTATTATAGGTGGTTGGGGCAAGTATGACAAAGGAGATGAGAAAATTTTTGGAGACGGGAAGAAATTGCTGATAGTGAGAAAACATATGTTCATGTTGTCTGTAGCACTGCCCTCCCGTTGTTCATTGATTTGCTCAAGTGGGCACCAGTAAGGTCTCCATTGTCAGACTTGTTACTATTTTTTGGTATATAGAATATACCACAGGGAGCTTTTCAGGCTCTGCCCTGCAGGCAGTATACTTTCAGGAGCTTGCTGGGCTCTCTGAGAGGGCCGGAGGAATGGAACCCGGGTCGCCCACATGCAAGGCAAATGCCCTACCCACTGTGCTATCCCTCCAGCCCATGTTGACTAGTTGCACGTATTTTATATTTGCAGCTTGTTGGAAGTTATATACTAACTAAACTACCGAAAAATCAACGTAAAGAATCTTCAAATTGCGCGAGATTTGCC